ACAACTTCGATGGACTGCCCATGTTTTCCTGCACGGGGACAATAGACTGCCAAAGCAGCTACTTTACAGTCACCTAACGAATAGTAAACGTAACACTATGGGCAACTGAAAAGGTATCAGGATAATCTTAAGACAAACCTGAAAAATGCCAAATCGATCCCTCACCTGCGAAATGATTACTCCACACCGTGACGCTTAGAGGAGCACTACACCAGAAGGTATCAATACTTTCGAATTAGCCCGACTGCAAACCTAGGCAGACAAGCGCCAACGCTGGAAAGACGCTGCCGCCCCTCCGGCAATAGATGTACCCATCCACATGTACACCACAGAAAAATTATTCGGCACCCGTGTCATATTGTATCACGTCGTAGGGGCGCGAATAATTTTTATTAGTGTACAACTTATTACACACATCAGGATGGCCTCTCTGGCCGGTCTGAACTTAACCCACTAAAAATTATTCAGTACTCTTACGGCGTGATACAATATGACACGGGCGCCGAATAATTTTTTAGGTGTACAACATCTGTGAACCTGTCGGTCCTGTACCGTCCTCTTTAGTCACCTTAAACTCACTAACGAAGGTGACATCCAATAACTCATTGTCTCATAGCTGGATGATCGTCATACTCTATTCCGAGTGACAGCAAAGTAGTAGTAGTAGTAGTAGCAGTAGTAGTGAAGAAATGATTCGGGAGATGACTCTGCCTTATGACTGATTACCAGGACCGCTTCGCCCCTTTAGCTCTTCTTCTCAAATACCGGCAATAATACTTACATCTATTTTGTCAGAGGACACACACAAAGACTAAGCACAAAGAAAATGTGTTACAATGAAGAGAAGATTGGCAATGTGGCAGACTGGGGCCCTTGATGATCTCCTATGGAAGCAAGAACACTGCAGGAGAGACTAAAAATTACGGGTGACGGAAAGGTGTGCCTGATGACGTGGTGTAAGTGCAATTTGAAACAAAATGCGTGTGGGAAAAGTGTCTCATGCGATAAGAATCTCTCACAGAGGAATTTCTCCGTAAGTGATGCCAATAAACAGAGACATTAAACTACTGAAAGAGAAACATCCCCTGCAAGCGATGAAGAAGGCATCAGGTCTGAGGGTGCCCATATCCCATCAACGCTGTCCTGTTTGCGAAAATAACAGGAGACAGGAAAAAAGGCACTGGAAGACTCGAGGTGGAGCCGGCCCTTCAGGTCTGGATGCAAACGGTTGGAGAGTCATTCTCAGCACAAACAAGTTTGGCCCCTGTAGCAAGCGATCTCTGCACTGCCATTGCCGCCCTAAAAGAAAGCTTGCATCCTCTTGCTGCCATCACCTCCAGGCCCCTGACGGCCTGCCGCCTTATTCCTCGAAAAGAAACCAGGATGGGTAATCTATAGGGGTGGGGGAAGGGCAAGTGAGGCGGACCATCGGAAAATGTATAATGGAGGTGGTAAAGGATGATATCAGGGCAGCAGCAGGAACCCACAAGTGTGTGTTGGCCACCAGGTTGGCGGGAGGCCAAGCTATTCACGCCATGAGATTGATATTTGAGCAGCAGCGTGATTAGGAGGTCGTTCTCCTGGTGGATGCTTAAAACGCATTCAACATACTTAACCGCTATTGCACTGCACAACATCAAGATCAAGTGTCCAAGCTTTGCAATGTATGTTGAAAAATTGAAAAGAAATCCATCAGACTTACATAGTAAATAAATAAGGCTCTTAAGAGGTGATACCATCTTACAGTCAACCGAGGGAACAACACAAGGGGGACCCTGCTGCAAAATGCGTATGCAATTGGCCTATCAGCGCTCCAACAAAAAAATAAAATTTGAAACAACTGGGGTCAGAACAAGTGGCATATGCTGATGACTATACAGGAACAGCATATGCTGACATTCCACAGGAGCGTTATATGCTGGATGAGACTCCACAGGAGCAGCATATGCTGATGACCCACAGGAGCAGGAAAAGTGTGGAGGGCATTAAAAGTGGTGGACTTTGGTAACATTGCGAGGTCCACAAATAGGGTACCACCCAAACGCCAGCAAGTCCTTCCTCATCGTGAAGCCAGAACATTGGTGAACGGGCAATGGAGGTTTTGGCGGAAGTGAGGTCAAAATAACTAAGGACGGCCAAAGACATCTAGGCGCAGTAATTGGCAATACGGACTTCAAGACCGAGTACGTAGCGGGAAAGATGAATGAAAGTAAGTTAGTGAAATCCAAGCTCTGTCTGAGATTGCTAACACAGAGCCACATGCAGCCTCCTTTTGCTGCATTCACCCATGGAGTCAAGCATCGTTGAACCACTGATGCGTATTATCCCTGATATCGGACCCCTCCTCCATCCCTGGAAGAAGCATATCAGTCAATTTCATTCCCAAATTAGTGAAACATCTGACTTAACCCCAGCAGAAAGAGCACTTCTTAACTTCCACCAAGACTGAGGATGACCAATCAGTCTAGAGGAGTCAAGCTGCGCCATCGAACATCAAAATTCACTTAAGCTCACGGCAGCCCTCACGGACCATAACAGCCCAGAATGCAACAGGGAGGTGGATACCAGTGAAGTAAATAAGATTCGCAGGTCCATTACGACAGACGGCAGCACTGCCAAAATGATAAGTTGCAGCAACTGCTGCTTCAGGTACCAGAAAATTTGAAAAAAAGTAACTATAGCGCAGGAGGTGGGCACCTCGAACTGGTTAACTATGTTACCGATAAGGCAAATGGTTTCAGTCTTAATAAACAAGAATTACAGATGCCATTGCTCTAAGGTACGGTCGGCTAGCAGAAGGTTTGCCCTCCCACGCGTAGTGGTTTTTCCTAGCGATGGCGATCACGCTATGGTGTGCAAGAAAGGGGCTTCAGGCGCAAGGAGTACGACGAGTAAGAGACTCCTCACCTCAAATATGTTAGCGAAATCTGCCGGGATGTCATGGTAGAACTCGACCCCTCCTTCCATTGATGGTGAGATCCTCCAACACAGGACTTCAAACACATCTAACGAAGCCCGCAGGACGCTTCAGTGCTCGAGGATTCTGACGCGGGACAGCAAGCTTTCTTCGACATCAAGATTTTGATCCCATGGCTGCATGTCACCGCAACCTAGCTCTCGATGCTGCACATAGGAGGAAACGTGAGAACGACAAGAGAAGGGCATATGGGGAGAGAATTCAAAACGTTGCTCAAGGCAGCTTCACTCCTCTAGTGTTCACAACCTCTGGCGGATGTGGGACCGCAAGATGTTTCTACGCCAGACTATGGAGGTGATCTCTGAACAGAAGCAGCAGCCCAGAAGTTGCTGTTATAGCCTGATGAGATGTCGATCAGTTCCTTCTTCTTCTGGTCGGCTTGCTCTGCCTCAGGGGAACGAGAGCTTGCCCCAATTCACAACTGCTGCAGATATTTACCCTTATGAGGCTACAGTCACTGAATGCCGCATAAATCTGCGGCTCAACTAATTCAACACAGATAGGATAGCTACTATGTATTAGGATATTTAATATTAAGGTAATAAATGGTATGAAGGTGTGCTATTGGGGAAAGGCTGAAGCATGTTAAAAAAAAAAAGTAGCAGCAGTAGTAGTAGTAGTAGTAGTAGTGTGTGTGTGTGTGTGGTCGATATGGACCATAAACTGCCGCATAGGTAGCATTGATTATTATCTTGTGTAGTTCAATGTGCATCACAATGGAAATTCGATATACGTCATTTGTCACCACGATACAATGATACATCAAAGTGCTGTGACAAATGAATATCAATGTTGCATTGGCACCTCAAGTGTTGCCAACATGTTTCCATTTTAATAAAAGTTGTGGACGGACGTCTTAAGTCTCCTCCACCTCATAATTTATTTTTAAACATATTCAACGCATCTTGTTACCTTCATACTTGTTTCAGCAAAATGTCTGAAATGACAACTGATTGAAAATTTATTAAATGACACACGTGTCAAACACTGATTACGGTATGTTATCAATAATCAGTCAATTCACACCCCTGCTTCGCCCTGATTCCTTACAGATAAATAAATAGATTTAGCTTATAGGAAGAGAATTAGTTGTGCTTAGAAAAGTCATATTTTCATTTACAGTTCACCATCCTTACACTACCAGACGACATGCACCTCGGGTACTGAGACAGATTGCAAGCACTATTGTTATTATTACATGTTGTATTTACTCTATTAGTATATTATAGCAGATTGTTCCAGCAAACAACAAGCCTCATGTGGCCAGTTTAACATGAACAGTACAAATGTTATCTGCATAATATAGCAGACGAGGAAAATAATAGATATAAACTTAAGCCTCAAATGAGTGTTAATAGTTCATCATTCACGGATACCATTACTGTAGGTAGGGGCACCTGCCCACTTCCTCCCTCCCACCCCAAATTCTCTTTAGTCACTTCACCCGCTATACCACCGTCCATTAGGCGAAAGATATGATCTAACAACAGCCTATTTCATGATTTCCTATTAAACATATAATTCCACAAATCTTTATATTTAAATGTTTGTTTTCATATTTTTTGCCTTGCTTCCATAACGTGTTTGCTCTTGTCAGTTTCTTAATCAAATACAGTACTGCCACACTGCACAAAACCCGAGGAGCTCCTGTAAACGTACTAGTGAGGTGAATACATACTGTACATATATCGCGACACTTTTCGTGAAAATATCCTTAATAGAGTTTAATACCAGTACTAATGATTGTGATCTCGTAAACGCTATTGACTTTGGCGCAGTTAAACACATGTACTAATGACCCCGATTCTCTTACACCTTTACCAATGACCTTGTCTCTTTAACACCTGTACTAATGATTTTACTCATTTAACACCTTTACTAATGACCCAAACTCATTTAACACTTTAAATAATGTTTAACTCATTTAACACTTTAAAATGCTTTTAACTCAATTAACACCTGTACTAATGGCGCTGACTTGTTTAAAACTCCTACTAAGCCATTTTTTTCACCCCTGCGGTAGGTATTGGCCATCGAGCATCTCACGTCTGAAGACCTGATTGAATACATGGCAGAGCGTGGTATCCAGCACGTCGCCTCCAAATTGGCCGACCACATATTCATCAACAAGAATATGGCCGTGGTGAAGACAATCTAGATGACGAGAGAGAGAGAGAGAGAGAGAGAGAGAGAGAGAGAGAGAGAGAGAGAGAGAGAGAGAATCGTGAAAATTTTGGCAGCACGGTACTCATCCGTCAGAGGCACTTCCATTCCAACTGAGATTATTTTCGTCTTTAAAGTCAGTTTTATTGACGTTTATACTTCAAGCAACTAAAAAATATATATGTTTAATATGAGAAGGAACTTATCTTCCTCACTTATGGCTAGCTTCTTAGTATAAAACCTTAAATTTGGATGAGTAAAGTATTACTAAGAGCCAAATCAGTGTTCAAAGCGGTCATGATGCTGTTTTTGAACGTAGGTAAAGAAGACTTTATATTGTAAACACACACACACACACACATACGTGCCCATACGTGCACGAACTGATCGCTATAAGAACAACCCAGTCCCAACCATTGTAAAAATTATCAATAACTTGTAATAAACCAGTGTATTCACCCCAGTAAATACTACTTTTGCACTGTCACTATGTTGAAATGTACTGTAGTTTGAGCTTTTCCCATCTAGTTATTATATATCTTATTTGTATCATTTATGTTACTTGTATATTATTTGTAATTCGAAACCATTCCCAAATATGTAACTGTATATTTCAGCCTTCTGGCTGCCAAGCCTTTTCAATAAACCTTTAATTATTATTATTATTATTATTTTATTACACCTGTATTAGCCCCTGTCTTATAGGCAGAAGTATTCATATAAATGTTGGTTAATTACATTAGACTTGTATAACTATCATCCCCGTAACTTTCCACTAGCTATGAGTGTTCAGAGCATGTGATAAAGTGTGCCCACGGGAAGTCACGTCACTTAGTGCTGAGCTAAGGAGGTAACCGGCTCCCCCTGGCCACCTATTGCGGCAGTAGTTTGACATCACACAAGAGGAAGACGTTATTTAGAGCCATTGTTGATGTACCCGTCTTTCTCGAAGGAGGACGTTGGATATATTCCGACCTCCCTCGAGAGATCTCTCCCAGCCTCGCCGTGAAGGTCGAAGACCGCCCTTTCTGCTGCCATTGTTGGCCAACTTTGTTGACTGGACCATCCGCCACTGACATCGTCGACAACATTCTCACTAGCGTTTTCGGCTTATCGAGCATTAGGCTTGCTCCTCCCCACTGATGGTGTGAGGGACCCACACCCAGCTGGAGAGCAGCTATAGTACGATATTACTGACGTTTTGAGCTCTTTTCCTTCACTACTATTTTTACTTTTTTTCGCTCTGGCCTAGGACCTGCAATTCCTCAAAAGTGTATTCGTCCTGCGGTCCTCCTGTAACTGTCTACTTCCCAGGAGATTGTAAACGAAAGGGTTGAGCAAGAACCTGAATCCCTCTGCCGAGTTTTCCAGGAAACCTGATCGTGCGGAACAACTTTTGGAAGAGGAGAAAGTCCTTCATTCTACCTAATAGAAGACACTTAGCTCACATCTATAAGTAGCAAAACATTGTAGTAGGTTTCTAACGAGCCCTGTAGAGGAGCTCAGAACGACACCCGGGCCATCAAATGCCTGTGGGGGCGTTGGAGATTTGCTATTGCACGAACTGAACAGTAGGTTCTGAACCTGCGACCAGCCTGAACTGTGCCAACCCGACGACCCATATATTTTGCATAGAGAAAGTGGACCAGCTGCGCAGCCCATCACATCAAATAACTCACCACTCAGTACCACCAATGAGGACGATGAAGTTGAAAAATAAAAACGCTGACGTGCTGGAAACGAATGCTGTCAAGGTCAAAGGCACCCATCATCACCACCAGCCAATTTCAAACGATGACTTCGGTCAAAATTCCGGATCTCGAAACGGACACGAAAAACGATATATGCCGCCACATCACAGAGATGGAGAACAAAATCTACTGGGCTGTTCTCAGCGCGGCTCAACCTAAAGGGGGGAAATGATAATTGGTCTACCCCAAAGACAAGGACTCTGCCACCACCCTCGGTAATCTCCTACCTGAAAAAACACCACCACCGTTGGGGATAACTGCTGGACCCTGCCCAGAAACTCTTGAAGTCGGTGAGTCATCTAGACCCATGAACCACCCTCGAACCCCCGGGAGAACCATCTGAAGATCCTAAAACCTGAGAGATGCTCTCATAATTCAGGACAGATGCCACCACAAAACAAGGTACTATAATTACACCATGGGTCACCCCAGCACCATATAGAATTTCAAACCTGGGATCTACGAAGTGAGGCCCTTCATTCCGGAGCGCTTCTGCGGTGCTTCAGATGCCAGAAATACGGGCACCATCAGATGAGGTGCAAGGAAAATTGCAGCCGTTCTGGTGCACAGAAGCACGATGGCAATTTCCTGCCCCACCAAATTGAAGAGATCAAAAATTGCCCCAAGGCAAAGCAAGGAAGTGGGGGGGTGAACACTAGCGCCTGGAACCCTTGATATCTTGGGAGAGAACAAAGAGGGCCCAGGCAGGGACCAGCATCAAGACTGGTCCCCACTGCTTGGGACACAAGTTCACCAAGTACCTTCGTGGAACCCAAAGGAAAGGCAACAAAGACAACTCCTGTCAACTGGTCAATTAGTGTAGCCTAGTTTCTGGCTTTTCCTAATGGCCATACCAGCTCCCCCAAGCAGCAAGTATAACGACAACATTCCATGAAAAAGACCCCCCAAAAAAGTACACACCAAGGCACCAGAAGGAATGATACACGATCAGACCTAGCCAAGGTACTGGACAACCTTCGCGGAGGGCCTAGCCGGACTACTGGGCCACAAGATCCAGCCTACACAGCCCAAATACTATGGGGAGCGTCTCGGGCAAGTCGCCACAGCTCCAGCCACCTCATAGTGGAGAAAGCCATGTTGGTCCACACGAGTGACAGCTGAGGCACACTCTACACCGAAAAAGGCCACCAGGGAACCAGAGATACTGGTTGGCTCTCCTCAGAAAGAGGGTGATTAAAGCCAGCTCCTCCTGAACCTAACCACGGCCCAGAAGGCAAAACCACCACAGAACAAGAAAAATATGAACCTGATCCAGTCAAATCAGACCTGAACATATCTCATCGAGGACTCAGAAGTCCACGATGAAACAGTGGTGGAAAATATAGGCAATTCCTGAACATCCTTCCGCTGGAATGCTCAGGGCATCAAAAAACAAGAAACACTTCCTTGCAAAAGAAGCAGCAGCCAAGGACAAGCTACAAGAAACACTTCCTACAAGAACACCACTACTAAATTCAGTGGTTACAAGACATACAGGAGGCATTTCCACGCAGATGTCGACAAGAGGATGTATGATCTTAGTCAAGTCGAACACATACACTTCCTGAGGTCATGCAGCATTTGCCATGTGGGGAAAAACATCGAGACACAGGCCGTCAAAGTAACCCTCCAAGAACGGGAATTAACCTGTCTACCAACATCTACAAGAACCTGGCACCACTTGATGCTATTCATCTATTTGCTTCGGCCGCTGACCACGCTGAAGACTCTCATAGGAGGGATTTCAACGCACATCATCCCTTCCCTAAGCTCGGCAAGCTCCACAAATGAAGACGGCCTACACCTATACACCACCTTTCAAGATACACCAGATCTGCTCCTCCCAACACCGGGAGAGCCACCAGGAGAAGTACAGACCTAACCTTCGTCTCCAGTGCACTCACAGCCTTCGGCCTCCTGGCAGATACAATTCCCACGCTGACCAAGCGACCACTTTGCCACCCTAACAACACTGAAGGTGAACAACCCCACTCCACCCCTGCCGGATGAGGACAAAGTGGACTGGGGACTTCCGCAGGGAAAACACCTGGCTATGACGCTTCGAATCACAGCCATTTGGTGCAGCACCTGTGGACGAGACAACCTCCACCAACAGTTGGTCTAGGCGTTCCACCAAGCGGGTAGAAGAGGCTATTCCAAAAAACAAACCCACATCAAGACAGTACATTTACGGTACTACTGTCCCAGGGTGAACTGTTCTATACAGGGTGAATATGGCCCGAAAGTTACAAAGACATCCTTAATGGACACAAACCGACATCTCCTGCAAGTATGGCTAGTCAAATAAGGATACCAGGAAGAGAAGGAAGAAATCAAAAGCGTAAGTTGGCTCATGGTGCTCCTGAACTGAACGAGCACACTCTCCTCGGCAGCAAAATGTGGGTCAAGATCCGAAGGGCATCTGCACCAACCAACCCAGAAGAGGAAGGAGACTCCAATCTGATCAGCAAACTCAGTCTGCGACAGACCAGACTCCAGATGATCGAAGAGGCTCAATTGTGAAGATGACACCGACAGACCTTTCAACCAGCAAGAACTCCAGAAGTTTGATAAACGAAGCAAGGACACAGCACCAGGGGGCTGACATGAGACCTCCATGCTTTCATACGGCATGGAAAGGCACGTGGCTTTGCTATAAGTCATCAATGCTTCAGGACAGCAGCACAGAGACTTCCACTGGAACACCCAGCACAGAGAACCAGGCAAAATCCAAGACCCATCTCTATTTCCTTCAAAGGATGAAAGAATGGCTTTCAACAGACTCAAGTGGAAAAAGTAGGCAGCCCACACTTCACATTTTTGTTTACACCGAGAACACTGTAACAAGCAACAACATTGTTGAGATACTCAGCACAGTGGACATTAAACCAGCTTTGGTGGTCTTCGACTTGGAGAAGGCCTTCGAACTAGTAAAATCCACTGGCCATTATAACGACGCTCGCCGAAAAGGGTGCCGTGCTAAGCAGTTTATTAGATTGACCCAGAACTTCCTGCATACAGAGACAGCGAGTACGCCAGGAGGCAACGTCAAGCTACAGGGTTCCACGAAAACGGAACCCCACAAGGATACGCACTCCAACTTACAGAAGAGAGTAACAGATCGACTAGCAACCGCTAAGTCGAAAACGATGGCCATCTGCACAGACACACCAGACAAGATGCTCTCCATGCCAAAAACACGCCGGACCAAGAATCATCATATTTTGGTTTATCTGAATCAAAG